TATTTACACAGGGACACATGTACAAGTATGTACAGTACAGTACTGTTGAGAAGAATAAGTTAGATATAACTCAAAATTTTATCAGTAGGGGAACAAGTAGAAAATGTGGGATGGACATATGATGGAATACTATAGAGCAGTTTAAAGGAATTAATTACATCTTTACTTTTTAACGTGGATGCATCTGAAATGCTGATGGAAAAAGCAAATTGCAGAATGAGGCAACACAGGCATAACCCTGTATTATTTGGGAATGCCTTTGGCACCATTAACAGAAAATCCACACAGTGGTTTAATAAAAGATGGGTTTCTTTTTCTCACATCCAGAGCTGGTGCACCTGCTCCAGGATCTATACAAGGAGGGTTCTTGCACCGTTCTTAGTGTGGGGCTCCATCTTATGGCTTTCAGGTGTTTGGTAGTAGCCCCATATCTGTGCTTAAAATGGAATCATTTAATGTTATTTATCAATTCAGTTAGCCCAGATTTTACCTCGTCTTTATTATTCGTTTTCAAGTAGACATAAAGGGTAAATATTTTAAAAATCAAGCGAAGTTAATACATAAAAAGCTGAGAAAATGTGTACCTCTCAGGTGGATAGACTGGAGCCCTCATGGTGTATAAAACATTTCAGGGAGAAGAGGTCCTCTCTGTAGCTTGAGGAGTGAAAGTGTATTAGGGTGTCATTATCAAGCTGACAGTCTGACCGGGATTGAATTACACACTCCTCACACCACCACCAGTCCTCACCTATGGAACAATAAGGATGCAGACTCTAGCTCTCACCATCATCACAAGAGGGTTCAATAAACTTGGTTTAATAGACAAATGGTTTCTGCTTTGGAGTATAGTACCACCTGTTAAAAAGGCAGAGGGGAAATGGAGTCTTCTCAGATAATTTATTATCTGCTTGGCCTATTAACTGTTGTCTTGTGGATTGTGAATATATCTGTGGTAGCTTAGATGATTTAAGTATTTTTAATTCTATGTCACTAAATGATAGAAAATATTTCTCTCGAACAAAAATATGGTCCTGGCAATTATAAAAATCTGATTTTTGGTACAAGTCAGTGTAATAAATGCTTTATGATCAATTATAACAGTAGAAATTATACTGGCTACCGTTTATTAATGTATGCTATAAACACACACATTGGAGAAAACTATATTGCCTTAGTTCACTTAATCTTTACAACAACCTTATAGGTTTAATTAAATATATTTATTAAAATATAGGTTTTTAAAAATTATCTGAATGACTGGCACAGTAAATGCCAAATTAAAGCAATGATTTTAAGTCTGATTATTACTGTTATTCTTGTTATAGATGAGAATAAATGCTGAATTAATGCAGTATTTTTAGTCTGATTATTACTGTTACATGCATGTTATAGCCAGAGACTTGGAGACCTTTGGTAGTGTTCTAAAAGTTGCATGGCTAGTAAGAGGCAGAATTGAAACTGGAACTCATGTCTGTTTGGCCACAAGTCTGCATTAGTTATAAAACTCTACAACCACTTGTATGTTACTCCATTTAACACTCCAACAACAACCCTAGTTCAGGATGATCTTTATTTTTCAGATTAGGAAACTTAAGTTCTGGAGAAGATAATTATTAATAATGATCATATATTTCATGACTTATGCAAGGCTCTGCTGGTCAGTGACAAAATTGGGTTCCCTGGAAAGTGAATGCTGAGGTGAAGATTAGCATACAGGACATTCATTAGGAAGGGCTCTGGAGAGCAACACCTGTGCAAGGGAAGGGAAAGCAGCAGCACTGGACAGAGGGAGAAGATGGGCTGTGATACACTCTTAATGAAAGCCTCGGCCAGTCTCACCAGGAGCTCTGAAAGGGGGACGGTCCTTCAGAGTTATCTTGGTTTGGGATGAGGGCCTTTGAAATTGGGGCCTTTAAACCCCTATGTTGATTAGTCATTCCTGGGAGTAGGACATACTTTTGGGAATACATCTTTCTTTAGCAGAGAAAACTCCTGAAGAGGACTTTCTGCTAGCTACATTCCCAGCAGCTGTGGGAATAAGTTCTTTACTCCTAAAGGGAGATCTGGGAGCCACATAACAGCATATACTTCAGGAAACAAAATCCACAATTTTTCTTTCATTCTATGATGCTATTCCTATTTTATCTAGAAACTGAAGAAATTTGCGTAATAACTCTAATCTTTCGTTTCTACATTTTAAGTCCAATTTTCATTCGCCACAGGGTTAATGTAATATTGCCACTATTTTAGTTCTACCACTAACTACAGTTAATTGTTATATTACCACTAACTGGATAGTTAATAGTATTACTATTGAAGATTCTAGGTGTCTTATTTTAATACCTTACACTGAGGGCAGGGGAAATTGTACATATGCAACTCCAAAAATTGGTTTAGCACTAATGTACCTTGAATCCACAATGAATAGAAACTTACTTTAAATCTAGTCTAAATCTCTTCTACAAGATTTCACACGCTGGGACTTCACCGATTTTCCCTCTGTAGCTGTTTTTTGCAGGAAGGCATTGATTGAGGTTGAGCCCTTCTCCCATAAGGAAAGATAAGTCTATCACACCACATTCTCAACTGTGGAAATTCAAAACAAAACAAAACGCTCAACCACACCCTTTCCTATGAAACAGTTTTACAAGGTGGGTTTGTAAAACATCCATAAAACAACAGTAACCTCAATGTCTCTCTTAATAATAGCAAACATATTTAGGTTTTCTGATCTCATATAAAATATGTAATGTATGGGTGTATTGTTTTACACATACTAAGCAGTCAGTAATTATTTAATGAATTGAAATGTAATTACTAGTAATTTTCCCCAAAATATTATAAAATATTGGCAACAACCAAATGTTAAGATCAATTCTCATATCAGATCTCTGGATGTGAGCTCAAAAAGCAAAACCACTTATGAGGGGTTCACTTTGTCTAGGAAGCATTGATTCTCTTACATAAAGCCCCTAAGATTTAGTTCTAATTTCAGAACTCCAAATTGGACCTATTAACAAGGAGGCATTGTTCTGATTCATTTAGTCTTTAGAATCTATTATACAGATGAGGAAACCAAGACTCGGACAAGGTACAAGATAATGTGACAGGGCTAGGAACCTGGGCTACCTTCTGCTTTATCTGTCAACAGAAAAGTGAAGGTTAGGGGTTGAGAGGGAAGAGGGAGCACGTCACAGCAGACATGGACTTCAAAAGGAAAGAAAATACAGAAGATTAAAGTGTTAGAACGATTCCAGGAAGGAAGAAAATTCATGGAAACAATTATGAAAGATCAGTTGGGAAGAGAAACGTGAATAATACTGCCTTACAGAGATAAGTCCAGAGATGGTGACACTTCTGAAAATGTCATTTTATTTACTCTCTCTCCAAGTTATGCAATATAAAAATTTGTTCATTTTGTGTAGAATATTGATAAGATAATCTGAATTTACAGGTAGAGGAATATAATAGAACGTTGCTCAAATAGTTTTGAATTAGTTCCTCTAATAACGAACAAATGTGTCACGTACGTCCAGTATAACGTTTTTATTGGCACTTTAAAGTCTTTGCAGAGTCCTAAGGGCTCAGAACAAATGAAAAAACATTTATTCAAGAAAACCTACTAAAACTCAGAACACTGAGCCACTGATCCAATCTCTCCCTTACCACCTGCCTCCCGGCAACCCCAAGTCATCTCAGTTTAGCAAAAGCTCCAAAAGCTCTGGGTGGATGTGGCCAAGAAGATGGGGCTCCCTCTCCCCTCAGCTCCCAAATAAGAGTTACCATATCTCATCTGAAGGGCAATCCTCCAGCTTTTCTAATGCCCTCCAACTCCAAGCTTGAGCAGCTAAATTCTGATGAGTGTGGCTGAGAGGTTGAGGGCTCTCTCCTTCCGTTGAGCCTCACAGGATGAGAACTCTACCCCAGGAATGGCAGGCCAGAACACTAAGGCCGCGATCTGCCTTTCGCCGGCTCACTTATAGGGCAGAACTGTAAGAAGCAAACGCAGAAGACCAGAGGCTACTGCCCCACCCAGCACTCAGAGGAGTGGCTCAGAGATTTTGTCCAGGGCGGAGAAGCAGTCCCTAAGAAAGAGAGTTTCAGAGTTCTCCGCAAAGGAACTGACTTCATTTGAAAGAGAATGTGGAGAAAATCAAACCTAAGGGCACTCCTGAAGACAACAGCTCCTCTAAGGTGAACTAGGCCAGCCAGTTCACCAGAGAGAACCAGGGCAAGAGACAGCTGAGCAGGACCCTTCCCTGATCAGAATAAGCCTCAAAAGCTGGCCTCAAAAATTACCCCTGTCCAAATTTAATTCTATGAGACTGCTGAGCAATTCATGCCCCAGGGCATGTCAAAACAGTAGAGCAATCAACCAGTAATTAGTGGAGCCTAAGGGTTGGGTATAATACCAAATGAGGCAGACAGCCTATGGGAGAGATTAAAAAGAGACAGTCAAAAAGAGCACTGCTAAAAGCACTGTTATCCCAGTTGTAGATCAACTGCATCTGTTCTAAGTACGGTACTAAGTCAAGCAAGATTTAACTACTATATTGCCTGCTAAATTAGGCCTGCCTTTTTATTAACCTCACTTTTAAAATCTGAATATTATTATTTTGATTTTGAAAAAAAAAGCCCCACAAAGAAATCGTGCATTACTTCTTTAGATTGGTATGAGAAATTATACGCCAAATGCCATTCACTTTCATACCATCCTCAAGAATGTTACACATAGTACATGTCATATGTTCCCAAAAGTACATTACATAAAAAATTGTAATGTGCTTTAGGCTTTCCACACTACTCTCTGAATTTTCTGCTTTTTAAAATCTACATTTAAAATATTTTCCCTAGGTTTTAATCCATAATTCAAAAATTTTACATTTTATCTTTATACTTTGCATTCTCTAAACTACTCTCAAGTTAATAATTTCCTTATAATGATATATAACTAAAAAAACTAAATAAGAAATTCCTTATTACATAATAATGGAAGGGAAAAATAAGAACTAAAAGAAAGCTCCTAATTTATGAACACTTTACAAATAGTGTAAGATTCACTGTGACAAATGAACACACTTTTATAAATGTCAAAGAATATTAGATAAAACTTTTATTTATTTTAAATGTTATTTATTAGAGTCATAGGATAGGATCAAACTTAAGAATCACTTATAATTTACTGCTTGATCAAAGTTAACATAAAAATATAACAAATTATATTGTCAACTCAAACTGACAAACCACTTTCTAAAGAAAAACATTCTGCAGTAAGCTATCATAATTTTTCCTATGGAGTGTTGGCTAAGAATGTAGTTATACTGTGCCACAAACAGTTAAAAGCAACATTTTTAGGTAATGTGAATAAGATATACATAATTACTCAAAACAAATATTAGGGTTATTTTCTCTGAAAAGTTAGCTTGCAAATGAAAAGAAGAAACCCAAATCCGCATACGGTGATAGCCGTCCTCTTCAAAAGTCTACTATTCCATGTAGATACTTCTTCCGTTAACGGTATACGAGTTGGATCATCTTCTCGTTCATTTTGCAACTAATGTTTAGTATGGGAAAAATGAAAAAGTTAATGTGCAGTACAGTGAAAATAAAAATATCTTTGATTTTAAAAAATATCAAAATATCCATGTTAATCACTTGATTTAGATGTAGCCTAAATGCAAGATTCCCGTGGAAGATTTAAAGTAAAGATTCAAAATCTTAAAAGACAGCCTTTCTTTCAACCAGGATCCCACTGTAGTAGACTATTAGTTTTACATTAAAAACAAATGCTTCTATAGATTATTACATTTTAAAAACATGTTTTTATGTCAGGAGATAAAGTTCCTTTAATGTTAAAGTTTCTATTTCTACCTATGAGGAACGACAGTCGTTTTTCTCTTTGTATTAAATATCAACTGATTTCTTACAAAAAAAGTGAACCTTATTAAAAAAGGTATTGTTATGGCATACCTACAGTACATGAAATTCAACAGAAACTAGAAGATTCGATGCTAACACTAGAAGTATAATCCTTTATTTAAATATATTCGCAGGAACAAATGTTAACAAAAATTTCAGTGGTTCTTTTTGCACGTCTCAACAATGAAAGTACATGACCCAGTCAGTTTCTAAATTCCTATACATAGAACTTTCTTGCTAAAGAAGGCCTCTCAACTCGTGTGTGTGTGTGTGTGTGTGTGTGAGTGTGTGTGTGTGTGTGAGAGAGAGAGAGAGAGAGAGAGAGAGAGAGGGGGGGGGGGAGGGAGAGGGAGGAGATAGTTGCTGGGGAGAGGCAGAAGAGGGAGAATGAGCAGAAACCAAAAGATCCTTGAAAGATAAAAAGAATCAGGCACATTTACAGAGTGATATTTACTAGAAACATCCTGTGCTGGAGTGGTGACATACGTTCAATATTAGCAAAAATAACTGCTTCTCAAATCTACAGTGTAAATATTTAATTAAAAAACCCTGCAAAATTAATTTCAAATTTATAGTAGAAGATGGACTTCAATGCCAATCTCATTAATACTGTATTCTTGGTCTAACTTCCAAATGGCTTCATTCAGCAACAGATTCCTTTTTGACACTGATGCTCCATTTACTGGATCCTGAGACAGTCATTCCTTTTATTAACCAATTACTTAGAATGACCCTTTCTGACAGGAGCCTGTCAGTGTGTTGGTTTGAAAGAGAATGATGTGGTGTTAGAGTCTGGCCTTGACCTCTCCCACCCTCTCTCTTTGTTACCTCCATATACTTATCTATGATAGCTCATATGTTTCTTTTAAAAAATCCCTTCTGTTATTATTGGTAAACTCTAAAATATCATAAGCTTAACAGGCATGATAGCATACTCCCAAATCTGGAAGCCTCATAGTTCTCTAAATAAAATCTTACTTGGTGATTATTATTTGTTTAAGTCTAATCCAAAGAAAACCCAATGCACAGGCTTGCTGCAACATTAAGACGTTCCTGCCCAAAGAACTATATCTGCTGTTATTATGAACCAATGAATATGTTTTCAAGGCCAGTCCTTACACAGAAATGTATAGATTCAAGGTAGAAAAGACCAAAGAAAAACAACCTTCCATTTAGCTAAAGAAAGCTGAAAATTTTCTCTATAGGTACTCTTTATTAAAATAAATATTATGGTACCTGATTGAATTGTTCATGTTTTCAAGTCAAAGTTACACTCTGAAAGCAGTGTTTCTTAATTTCATCCCTTTAAGAAAAATCTGGGTGCTCTCTCTAATTTCATCTTAATCCTCCACCCCACCTCCCCAGATGTTTTTAGTTCATCTTGGAGAAAACAAATAATTACCAATCCTGAGACAAAGATGTCTTAGGGAATTTCTTACACTAAACATTAAAGGTTGATGCTTTGCAGGAAGTATCTTTACACAAATCCTTACAAATTTCTCTTGCATCCCCATGAAAAACACCATGCTAATAAGTAAAATCAATACCATTTCCCTTCAATTCTTCTAGATGATAGATATAGTGAAGATGAATGGTGCTATAATTTTCGTGTTGTCAGCAAGTTCAGAAAGTATAAAATCATAGTTTTGCATGAGAAAGTTCATTTGGGGAGTGCTGTGTATTAAAGGAACACAAAGTGGAAGTAGAGAGAATAATTAGGAAACTAATGTGTAGCACAGTAGCCTGACATACAGGAGGCACCCTTAGGTTTGTTGAATGAATAAATGTCAGAGATAATACAACTTCTAAGATGCCTTTCTCTGGAAAGGAGTTATCATCTACAAAAAATGTGAAATATATTGCTCATTTGTCCTATTTTAAATGTCTTTATCCCCCTATAATTTTGTAGAATTTGCTTCACAATTTTCTGCTCATTTTTAAAAAAGACTCCTTTTGACTGAACATGTTAATAGCTAGAATGACAAATTGCCTGGAACATGTATAAAGTTTATTTTGAGGAAAATAACTTTTTTGATAAAATACTAATGAAAATATTAAATGACATGGGTTGATGCTATAAAAATGTAATGCATAATCTAATGTTCACATCAGATATTTCACAAAAACTTTATCGATATCAAATATATTTATTAGATGTGGAGACTCAGAAATGAGTTCTTTAGTCAAGTGAAAGTGTTGCCCTTTATTATCTACCTTCAACAGAGTTCTCTAATTTAGCAGCTTAGGTTTTGTTATAGCCAGTTTTCTTAAAGGGGGAAAAAAATCACCTGTCCTTAAACCAAAATACATACTTCTATATGAGTATAGGAACAAGAACCAAAAACCCATACTCTTTTAAAAAGTTAAATTATAAAAGATACCATAGAAAGTCTAGAAGGGGCTTCCCTGGTGGCGCAGTGGTTAAGAATCCACCTGCCAATGCAGGGGACACAGGTTCGAGCCCTGGTCTGGGGAAGATCCCACATGACGCAGAGCAACTAAATCCATGTGCCACAACTATTGAAGCCCGCACACCTAGAGCCCGGGCTCCGCAACAAGAGAAGCCACCACAATGAGACGCCCGTGCACCAGAACGAAGAGGAGCCCCCGCTTGTCGCAACTAAAGAAAGCCCGTGTGCCCCAACGAAGACCCAATGCAGCCAAAAAAAAATCTAGAAAATAGAAGGAATATTTTATCCACAACCCTACCTCATTAACAGAGCTAATAACATTTCATCTTTGGTAGTTTTTTTATATTCACATTTATATATGTAAATAAAAATTAGAAATAGAACTTCTTTAACAAGTTGATATATTCTTTTCATTATATTTTCAACTGGCTGCATATCATTATAAGAAACGGTTATACCATAATTTATTAAATCATTCTCGTATAGGACATTTACGTACATATAATTTTGGAATCATTAAACTAGTACTATTAAAGATACAAATATTTTTATGGTCCTTGCCACATCTTGCCAAACTGTTTTTGAAAGTGGTTTAGACATCAGTCTCACATGAAAATACTATGTTTGATGAACTATAACCAGTAATGGGTAGGGTAATACATTCCCTGCTAATTTATAGGATGAAAATGATATATCACTGTTCTTTCAGTATGCATTTCATTAATGACCAACAAAGTTTGTTTCCTATGTATATTTCTTCCTTTGAAAACTGTCCTTTCTCCAACTGTCTAGTGGGAGCTTAAGTTGCTCGTCAGATCTGCTTCATTGTCTAACATATTATGCTGTAAATAATCTTCCCCCTTTTTAATTTTAAATATTTAAATACCTTCTGAATTAAGTCTTTTAGTTTGCAGACCTCTTCACTCAAGTCTTCAACATTACTAACCAGTTCTTCACAAACTGAAGTAAAATTCCGGGGAGAAGCCCATTCTAGTACTATCTGTTAATATTTTCAAAAGTTACATTTTAAAGAATGGAAAGCAACTTTTCACAACTTTATATCCACAAAAAGTATACAACATTATCAAATATTAAATTACATAACTGAAAAGCATTTTTTTATTCAGGATAAATCCTGACACCAAAAGAACTCAGTATTTTTATATAAATAGTCAAATCAGTTTCCTGAATGTATTTATTAAATATATATATATATCACCATGGAGACTAATATTAGTAATAAAAATATTTATGGTGAATAAAGTCATGAAGGTTTGAAGAATGACATGATTCCCATATTAGTGTTATATAAAACTCATAGGAAAACAAGTGCATTAAATATTTTTCACTATATGCAAATAGCTAAAACCAAATCACATGAAAAACTTTACAAAACAAGTTTGCTTTTACAGGTCACTTACACTTTCTCTATTTAAAATTTCCTTCATTAAAAAATCCTTATATTGAAATGGTTTTTAATAACACTCAACACACTGTTTTGTTTCAACTTTCACTTGGGTCTCCTGTCACTTTATATTTTAAACAATTAAACTCCCTTTAAGAACAAATGGTAAGTTCAATACACAGATCAGTTTAACTTTTGGTCTGACTCATTTTCCTTTTCTTGAGGGCTAGAACACAAAGTTTTTCAATTAATTGGTATAAAAAAGTAGTATTAAATAAATTGACTTATTTAGATCTTAGGTGATTTTACAGAGGACACAGTTTTACCAGATCATTACAGTTTATTGAGTTATCATTAACTTATCTGGAATGTTCTCCAGCATTCATACTTTACTTCATTTAATAACTTGTAGAATACCTTCTGAGAATTTACAGGCAACTCAGTAATAATGTTCTGTACAGCTGTTATTAAATGGCCACACTGTTTGTTTAATTTCAGAAGAAAGTTGAGGAACTCATCACCACTAAAGAGAGGAAATAAAAAGGAATCACTAATATGAACAATTTACTCCATTTTACTTGGCTAGTTATTCAATGTCTAGTCATAACATTTATTAGATTCTTTAAAAAAATATTTGTAGAATAGTTACTTTGTATTAGCAACTGAAACAGACTTTGAGCATACAAAGAAAACCAAGCATCCAATCTTGAGGATCTCAAAGTTCAGGATGAGAAGCAGACATAGAATTATAACATTGTTATTCACAGGGACATATGAAGAAGGAACATAAAAGTGCCAATATTTGAATGTCTATTATGTGAAGGCACTGCACTAGTTATTTTACATTTATTATTTTTTAAATTCTTCCCAACATCTCCTGTAAGGTAGATGTTATTAACAGTAGTTTATAGTTGAGACATCTAAAACTCAGACATAATGAATCTAGTATAATGGGAATAGGGATTTAGTTATGCTTCATAGAGTTCATACTTGAACTGAGTCTGGAGCTTAAAAATAAGTTTGTCAGGTAGGTAAGGAAGAAAAGAGATTCTGGACGGAGAGAATAGCAGGTGCGAAAGAACAGGGGTAGTAGGTCTCCAAGGTATAACTAAAAAGCACAATTATGGGAAAGTCGTAAGAAAGGAGGCTGTACAGGATCACTTGTTTAAGGAACTTTCGTGACATGCTAAGGAATGGAATATTATCTTTTGGATAATGTACAGTTACTAAAGAATTTTAAACAGGAAAGTAGAAAATCAGATTTTCGTACGAGAAAGTTTATTTGGGGAGTGGTGTGGATTAAAGGAAAACAAAAAGTGGAAATAGAATAATTAGGAGACTAGTTTAAGAAATGTTTAGGAGAATAAACTGAAGAAGTTGGTGATGGATTGCACGTAAAAGAAAAGGAAAGGTCTAGGCTTATTCTAAGTTCTTTGGTTGCAGTGGAAGATGGCACTACCAAGCAGGGAAGTGAATTTGGGGGCGGGTGGTGGAGAAAGAAGTGGGGTGAAGAGAAAGCAATATAGCATAATAATTAAGAACACAGTCTCTAGTGTCAGGAAGACCTGAGTCTGAATTCAGCTTCCACAGCTTTATGATCTTGGGCAAACCTAATCTTCAGCCAAATATTTCCGTATCTGTAGAACTGAGGTAAAAGGAGTGTCAGGAGGACTGAAGGAGGTAACATGTGAAAAGCACCTAGCATTCTGTCTAGTATATATATAGCATTTAAACAAACTTAATAATGATGATGATGGCAACGATATGAGACATGTAGGTGGCAAGTAGAAATGTCAGTCTTGTAGGTACTTATCCTGGGGTCCACAGCCTCATGAGGCTACACAGAATTCGGGGAGTTGATGAACTTACATGGGGAAAAACTACATGTTTATTTTCACTAACCTCTAACAGAATTTCAGTCTTTCCTGCCATTATGAATATAGGCACAAACCACAGAAGTATCAGAAATGTCTATAATTTTGGTCACCAGTAGAAATCAAAACAATGGTCATGGAGGGACCACAAAGAAAAAAGATACATATTGTGAAGAGGGGAGAGTTGATAGGGGTAGAAGAAAAAAGCTATCAAAGGAAAAGTAGCCTGAGAAAAAGAAAATCAGGAGTTAAGGTCTGTTATGAAAGGTATTGAAGGGAATAGATTCAAGATGGAGGAAAAAAGTCAAGCATGTTAAATAATTAGGATTAGTCCAATGATTCCGACAATGAAGAGATACTGATGACTAGATTAGTTTCAAAGACAGAAGCCAATTTATTGTGAAAGCTACAAAGAAACTAACACAGCCAAATAGAAAAGGGGACCAAGGATAAGAATAGGTAACTCAGAGGAAAAGAAAAAAGAAAATTTTAAATGGATAATAAACATGGGATTAAAATAAGACGTCATATTCTAGTGGAATGACAAAAATTAGGTAGATCATTAGTATCAAGAGTTGACAAATCTGTGAGATGACCTTTCTGGAGAGTTATTTAGCAGTATCTATTATAATAAAAATTCACACAAAAACTAATACAATGGGACTAAAAGCTACTTCTGAGTCAAAATGAAATTCTTATAGGTAGAAGTTTTGACTGTACACTGTACAAAGTTTCTTTCATGCTGTTTCTAGGAGGAAAGGTTATAAAAAGCAAGCAAGGACAACCTCTAATGAAACTTAATAGCAAACTTTTCTCTAAGACACGACTTTTATATAGTATTTTAATTTAAAAGAAATCTTTTCTCTTAGCTATTAGATTGAAAAATAAACAGTTTATACAAAATAAAGACTTTAAACTTTACAAATATAATATATATATAATCAAGTCACCAACTATGAAAAGTATCTGGTGACTGCTTTATAAAAGCAAATTGAAATAAAAAAATTTAGATAAGCTCTTGTTCTATCTAGCAAAAGTGGTATTTATAAAAACATTTCCAAATAAATATAATTCTTCTTTATTAATTTTCTTTCTGCTTTTTGCTCAAGAAAGAACAGAACTTGAACATATTTTTCTGTCGAAACAACAGCAGTCATTACTTGTATTAATTTTTCTGTTTCCATGTAGTGTTTATATAAGGTATACTTAAAACTTATATTTTAGTGCTCTTTACTCAAATTTTATTTATTATCAATGAAAAAATAAGTACTTGAATAAGTAATTCATTAATGCCCTATATATTTTTTATGTAATGATTCCTAAGGAAATTAAGATCCATTGAGAACTGTCATTCAAAATGATAGCAGGTATATTATTCTAGATAGTCAAAGCACACATATATATGTGGAATATAAACTTATAAGCTCTTATTCTCAAGGAAGACTAAGTTAACAACTCAGTTCAAATAAGCAAATACTATTATTAACAAAATTACATAATCTTAATGGATGAAAGCAAAATATATACCTTTCTTGGGATGTATAATTTTCAGGGCCACTGAATATGGATAGGCAAATTATAAAAAACACAACTCAAAAATGTGCCTTTCATCATACACTGTGTGACTGGCTGCCCAGCCCCCACCCCACAGCTGTACAACCTACATACCTTTACATGGCAGCCCTGATAATTTTGTACTTATTTAAGGATTTCAAAATAAGCAGATATGGCATACGTATGGTAGACTATATTATTTGATCAAATTGTCATGTCTTCTACTGAGCCAAATACTACCAGGCCTCTCTCTGCCAGAGGATTACAAGAGGCTTGGCCATATGACTTGCTTTGGCAAATAAAATATGACTGGGAGTGACTATGTAACTTTTGAACAGTTCGAGGTGGGGCTATTTCTCCAGCCTGTTTTCAGAATAATAAGGAGGAGATTCACTGCAGCTGACCCATGATATAGGCGATCAAGAAATAAACTTTGTTTCTGTAAGTTATTTAGATTCAGAAGTTATTTGTTACTGCAGCACAACAAAGTGTAAGTTGACTGAAACAACAGGCCATATTTTAAAAATGTGAAGTTAAGTATTAGGATAAAATTTATACTTTAAATAAAGGTACTCCAAACAGAAGTACTATGTGCTCACTGTAGACTATCTGGAAAAATCTAAAATTACCAATACTTTTATCACCCAAAGATAATGACTGGTAATATTTTCTTACAGAATATTTTCTTATAGTACACATTTTCTTCTAGTATTTTTCATACGAATATATACAACTGGCATTATACCTCACACTCTGTTTTATATTGCCTTTTATATTATTATGAGTATTTTTCCATGACATTAAATCTCAAAATAATTTAAACAACAGAATAAAATAATTATACTGATGTAATATAATCCAACCATTCACCTTAAATATTTAGAGTTTCCAAGTTTATATTGGATGAATATTTATAATAGATGTGAACAATGTATTTTTTGTGTGAAAATTTGCATCTATACAAATTTTTTTTGGAGGAGAAATCATTTCCTAAGTAGACATAATTTTGAGATGCTTTTGATACATTTAAGTAAGTATCAAAAAGGCTCAGAAAAAAGGTCTGGGCAGAAACTGCTGAAAATGTCAAGACATGGGTGAAAATATTTGTGTTCAAAATATCTCAAAGTAGTAATGAAATGGTTATTAGTATTTTTAGATTGCATTCTCTAATTCTGAAAACATACTAAGGCCAACTGTAGAAAAAAGTAAATGTACTGTGCATGTGTGTTCCTGTAACAGACTATTTTATAAAACTGAACACATAGAAGAAAAGTATCTTAAAATAAATCAGTAGCTAAATTGTTGAAGTCACATTACCAGAAGATTATAATCAATCAGTTCAACTTTTCCTGCTGTTAGTTTTCTTATGACTTAATGACTAATTTCTTCCTTAAAGAATGACTTTGAACAAATGGGAAGTAAAACCTTTTCCATAACAGCATGTAAACAAAGTCTGTGATTTAATAACAAGGTCAAATTCCTGAAATATATGTCCGCCAGTTTTATTTTTTAAAAAATTCAGCAGTTTTAATAAGTGAACCATTCAGGATTCTGTACATTCTTTAAGTCTATTAAATCTCAACAATGAAAATTCATAGAGGTAACTCTGACATCATACAAATAAGTTATATTAAAAAATTTAATTTGCAATTCAGTCATGTAGAACTCAGAATATTCCTTCATAGAAGCAATAAATTAGAAAGTAAAGAAAATGAACAAAGAGATTCAAAGTTTGCTGATTTAAGTCCTCACAACTGAAATCCTTTACAATGTACTTAGATATTTAAGAGATGCAATGTTATTTTGAAACAATGATGAGGCATTATTTTGAATATAGATCATCTTGTTGTATCTCCTTGTTGTATCTCCTTGTTGTATCTCCTTGTTAAAAGGAGATACAGTTAGAGAAAGGGAAATAATTTTGCAATAACATTTTTAAAGAAATCTGGATCATCTAAATTATCCCCTAGAAGACTTATCTAAATTTTAAAATGGTGTGGAAACTTATTATTCCTATGTTTAATTAATGTTTCTCATAGTTGCAATGTTAGTGTTAGGCAGGCTACACTATACTACTGCACTTGTAAGTATTATATTTTATAGACTTGGATGAACTTCAAGGAAATTGGGCTGACTGAATAAAGCCAATCAAAAATGGATACATACTGTATGATTGCATTTATGTAACATTCATGAAATAACATCATTTTAAAGATGGATAACAAATTATCGATTGCTAGTTTTAGGGATGGGGGAGGGGTGGTGGGAGCTATGAAGGGGTAGTATGTGGTAGCATTGTGGTGATGGTATGTTAAGTATATTGATTGTGGCAGTGGTTATGAGAAGCTACACACATGACAAAATTGCATAGAGCTATACACACACGCACACACACACACACAAATGAGCACGTGTATAACTAATGAAATACAAATACAAACCAGAAAAATGTCAGTTTCTGGTTTTGATATTGTACTATAGTTATGCAAGATAACTGGGTATACTGGGTGACACTGGGTGAAGGGTACATAGAACCTTTCTGTACGTCTCTGCAATTTCTTATGAATCTAAAATTATTTCAAATAAAAAGTTAAAAAAATCATTTACTGTTCCACAATATGTTTAAAAAATCAAATACCATTATTTTCAAAATAAATTTTAGATTACTAATATTGCTACTAATCAGTGTTTGACAAGTTTATAATATTGAAATGAACTTTATATATTGATAACATAATTTCATAAAGAATAAGGCTGAAAATAGAGCTGAGTACATGAGAAATGCTTTCTTATTGCCCTAAGCAAAAATATTACCCTCTGAATCTTCAATCTGACATTTATATGATTTAAAGAGAGTAAGAGCTACACTATGAAAAGCATGGGATCTTTTAATTAACTCATTTAACAAAATACAATGGAAAAATACAACAAAAAAATTTCTATGTAAGTTAAGAAGATGCATTAGTTTTGCTTCTTGGTAAAAACTGACTTTATAAAGTAATTTCTACTTCAGAACACAATATATCGCAAAATGAACTATCCATATCCCTGCCAAAATGATGGTATTAAGTAAAATAACTTGGACATTATCAAAATTCAATTAAAAAAGAAAGTTGGTTCTAAACAGTATTAATGTAAACCAGTAGGTTAATTTTACCTGATTTCCAACTTTGCCACTTCAGGTAATTCTCCAAATTTTATCTCTTCTACCTCTAGTTCTTTAAGAGCAGCCATAATTTTCTGCTGATCTCTACTGGTAATTCCATTCTAAGTAGAAATGATTTTAAAGTACAATAAGGTAGTCATACTTGAACAATATACAAAATTACTGAAGAAGTTTTCTACTTGATTAATTAACATCTTGAAAAAAATAGATACATATTGGAATAAAACCATACTGAAAAATATACAAGTTTGCTTGTAACTGGACTGACTAGGTTACATCACTAAAATATTTAGATATATAGTGACTATAGTCAATTTTTTGCATTATATAACAATTGTGATGGATTCTAAAAACAAATTACTAGATTTTAATATATAATGTTTCCAGAAAACCAGAGTAAAACAATTTTTCCTTCAAAATATTATTTAAAATGTTATCACTGATTAACTGAGAATTAAGTCTTCTTTTTGTCTATGTTCTACCTTTAGAATTAACTAAATTTTCTATCCTGGATTTAGCTAAGTAGTAGTATGGTTTGATTTTCAGTGATGGTAAAGATTTCAAGTTTCCAATGTGCTCATACAGGAAGATCATTCCTTTTTATGTATCCTACCTATTAAAGTATCTCTGATATTTCCCACAGCTATTTTCAAATTGTTACTTAATACTACTCATTAGCAAAATAATAAGTCTTGGTCATTTTGAGAAACTAGCAAAAGGCAGTATTTGAAGAACACGTTTATACCCACATGTACAAAAAACCACATCTTATTTCTAAGTAACCTGTTTTATGCTGTTTTACAGATCTATTTCATGTTTAGAAATAAACCACCAGTTTTAGTTGAGATGTCATAACTAATCTGAATGAAAAAAAACAACTCTAAGTCTTTATTCTTTTTTTTAACATCTTTATTGGAGTATAATTGCTTTACAATGGTGTGTTAGTTTCTGCTTTATAACAAAGTGAATCAGTTGTACATATACATATGTCCCCACATCTCTTCCCTCTTGGGTCTCCCTCCCTCCCACCCTCCCTATCCCAACCCTCTAGGTGGTCACAAAGCACTGAGCTGATCTCCTTGTGCTATGTGGCTGCTTCCCACTAGCTATCTATTTTACATCTGGTAGTGTATGTATGTCCATGCCACTCTCTCACTTTGTCCCAGCTTACCCTTCCCCCTCCCCATGTCCTCAAGTCCATTCTCTAGTAGGTCTGTGTCTTTATTCCCATCCTGCCCCTAGGTTCTTCATAACCATTTTTTTTTTTAGATTCCATATATATGTGTTAGCATATGGTATTTGTTTTTCTCTTTCTGACTTACTTCACTCTGTATGACAGACTCTAGGTCCATCCACCTCACCACAAATAACTCAATTTCATTTCTTTTTATGGCTGAGTAATATTCCATTGTATATATGTGCCACATCTTCTTTATCCATTCATCTGTTGATGGACACTTAGGTTGCTTCCATCTCCTGGCTATTGTAGATAGAGCTGCAATGAACATTTTGGTACATGACTCTTTTTGAATTATGGTTTTCTCAGGGTATATGCCCAGTAGTGGGATTGTTGGGTCGTATGGTAGTTCTATTTGTAGTTTTTTAAGGAACCTCCATACTGTTCTCCATAGTGGCTATATCAATTTACATTCCCACCAACAGTGCAAGAGGGTTCCCTTTTCTCCACACCCTCTCCAGCATTTATTGTTTATAGATTTTTTGATGATGGCCACTCTGACTGGTGTGAGCTGATATGTCATTGTAGTTTTGATTTGCATTTCTCTAATGATTAGTGATGCTGAGCATTCTTTCATGTGTTTGTTGCCACTCTGTATATCTTCTTTGGAGAAATGTCTATTTAGGTCTTCTGCCCATTTTTGGATTGGTTTGTTTGTTTTTTTCATATTGAGCTGCATGAGCTGCTTGTAAATTTTGGAGATTAATCCTTGGTCAGCTGCTTCATTTGCAAATATTTTCTCCCATTCTGAGGGTTGTCTTTTCATCTTGTTTACGGTTTCCTTTGCTGTGCAAAAGCTTTTAAGTAAGTCTTTAAATATTCCTAAGGCAACTTAATATTGGAATGGAAGATTTTAGATATGGTTATCCATAATCATATCTAATGAGGAACCTAGCAAAAGATCACTCACAGTCTATAGCTGTAGGATTTTTTAAATAGAAAATAAAAGGATTCAAACTATTAAAAATATGAAAGATAATGTCTGGAGTTTTTGAAATTGATACTAACCTTTGTAAACTCATCTTTCGTCATGGTCAAAAGATGTCTTAAAGTTATATCCCTTTCCTGTAGAAAAGAAAAAAATGCCACCTTTCTATATAAATGAAAAAGTAGAAGGGGAAGTAGGCAACTGTACATATAAGTTAGTCAGTTATATGCTACCCGCCTAAAAACTTCCAACTACTGGGTAGATAGTAATGAGTATAATAATATGTATAATTACTAAAAAAAATATAAACATAACTAGTTTCCCAGATTCAGAAAAAAGTATTACAACTTATATTTGCTTACATAAAAAGAAAACAGCTCTATAAAATTTGACAGAAATTGTTTTATGAATTTTTAAAATTTATAATTGTATAATGTTAATAAAATTTGGTTTTACTGAATATTTCTCAATTAGGAAGTTTCACGATTGTATAATGAAACCCAATTCTAAACTGCCTAAATGAATGTGCATATTCTTAAGGAGAGCCTGTCTTAAATAGTGCTTTACTGCTGCAGTATCAGCTAAATGGCTGATAACTGTCATCTGCTCAAATCCCATAATGCATGCCTAAAATACCTACAACAGTGCTTCACATATGATCTAATTTAATATTTATGACAATCCTACACTAGGTATTACCATCCTTATGAAAAAAAAGGAGATTTAAGTAACATATTTCAGTTAATAATCATTAGAGCAAGAATCTGATACCTGGTTTGTTTGGTTTAAAATCATGCTTCTAATATTCTATACACAAAGATCAGCAACTGCAAAAACAGACTAAGGGCTTAGATGTATAAGGAGTTCTGTGATGCTTTGGGCAGTGGGTAAAAGCCAGATTCTACTTTATGTAAATTTCTATAATAATAAATTTTCACAATGCTTGTAATTTTAAAATGGGATGTATCAATACTACAAGTTATGGAGAAAAGTACATCTGTCACCCCTTCATAAGCATGCTTATGAATTAATATTTAATGTTATGTTAACCAACAAATAAACATGCATACATAACTCACCATAGCTTAAACAAAATCTTACCTTCAGTAAATCTGTCATATGTTCAAGTCCAAGACCATGTAAAAATATTTCCAGATCTCCAAATGCTGTATATGAACTATACATATTTATAGCAATGTCAATTTCAGAACAGACTATCAGTGCACAAATAATAAATATATATTTATGATGCAGAGAGAGAATGAGAATAAGAATGAGTAAGCATGAGTCTATGTAGAATATACAGGCATATGTCGTTTTACTGTGCTTTGCTTTATTGCTTTATCTGCAGACATTGTTTTTTACAAATTGAAGGTTTGTGACAACCCTATGTCAACTAAGTCTACTGGTGTCATTTCTCCAACGGTATCTGCTCACTTTGTGTATCTGTGTCACACTTCGGTAATTCTTGAAATATTTCAAACTTTTTCATTATTATATTTGTTATGGTGATTCTTGATGTTGCTTTTATAACTTGCTGAAGGCTCAGATGATGGTTACCATTTTTTAGCAATAAAGTATTTTTTAATTAATATATGTACATTGTTTTTGTAGACAGAATGCTATCGCACACTTAATAGACTACAGTATGGTGTAAACATAACTTTTAAATTTGCGTAACTCACTTTATTGTGATATTTGCTTTATTGTGGTGGTCTGGAACTGAACCCCAATATCTCTGAGGTATGCCTATTATTTGCAAATTTACCCACTAGACCTATGTTATACAAAGGAATAAGAAAGGTTTCCTGAGTGAAGATTTAAGTAAACAGAGAAAATGGTGATAGTAAAATGAAGCTCATTTTTCCTAAGAAGGAAAATATTTGCCAATATTTATACAATTGACCCCTGAACAACACAGTTTGAACTGTGCAGACCCACTTACACATGGAGTTTTTTCAATAGTAAATACTATAGTACTACACAATCGTGGTTAGTTGAATCCACAGATGTGGAACTGCAGAGATGGAGGAACCTTGGATACAGATTTTCCAAGGGCAGGGTCAGCGCCCCTAACCCCCGGAATTGTTCAAGGGACAGCTGTATTCCTTGTGAGCGGTCTGTACGTGAAAATCTCTTTAATTGTAGGAAGTAAAAATTTACTAACTATTTTAAATGTAGGTAAGTAGAGGATAATGCTGTGGCCATGTACTGAACAACTGTGTTCAGGGGAAAAAACGTATTTTTATTTTTAGCTTATAAAATCAGAAATCTGCTATAAAGAATTAGAGAGCAAGATGCAATCTAGTTTGAACACTAACAAAAATATAATCTTAGAACCTTTTAGAAAAAAACTGTATTGTTGATATTTTATTTAAAGTAAAAAATTATTCTCATTACTGTTAGTACATGTATATCAAATTTTTCTAAAATTCTGGAAAACAAAGCACTTAAATTCAGACATTTCTAAGTAATATTTTTAAATGCTTATAAAAGTTTAAAATATATATTTTAAATAAGTCATCACATTTACTATAAGTAATAAAAAACATGCACAATTTTTACTCATTTATAGGTATTGTGTTGAACAGAAACATGCTATGTTACCTAAATATGTGATCTTTATCAGAATCTGTTCTCAATAGTTTACAAATAGTCTCTTCTTTAGTTAGCTGTTGAAGCTTTCCTCCCCAAGGATTTAAAGTCAAGGAAAGAAAGTTGAAGATCTGAAAAAAGTTACAGTAAAAATTAAAGCAAGATAGTAATTAATATAATATTTTCAACAAGATATAAAACAAAACTAAAACTTCCATTTTGGTAACTGAATCAGAAAGACTAAGTATTTTAAATACATTTTTTTTTTTTCTTTTGCGGTATGCAGGCCTCTCACTGTTGTGGCCTCTCCCGTTGCGGAGCACAGGCTCAGCGGCCATGGCTCACGGGCCCAGCCGCTCCGCGGTATTTGGGATCTTCCCAGACCGGGGCACGAACCTGTGTCCCCTGCATCGGCAGGCGGACTCTCAACCACTGCGGCACCAGGGAAGCCCTAAATACATTTTTAAATAGAGAGAGAGTAAGAAGCACGACTAAGGTAAACAAATCTCAACTGTACACCTTAAAGAGATGTGAAATTTCTTAGTTTTCAAACTTCTTAGTTCTAACTTTTTAGCAAGCCAAGTGTAAGTCATATAATCAGCCAAGATACAAAACCAAATCTCACTTCAAGAAACACTTTATGACTCAAAATAATCTTTGATGTTCATAAATTTCTTAGTATGTCAAATTCACTGTCATCTACCCTAAATTTAATGATGCAGTATATTAATTAAAAGTTTTCAAATTTCCAAAGCTTAGTAGAAAAACTGTTAATTTCTTTTTAAAGTTTCACAGGGCTTCAGTGATTAGCATTTACACTAGAATAATTTTGGAAATGTAGGTCTGAGTTATAAAATGATAGGCATGTTTATAGGCTGCTTAAAAATAGAGGAAGTGGGGCTTCCCTGGTGGCGCAGTGGTTGAGAGTCCGCCTGCCGATGCAGGGGACACGGGTTTGTGCCCCGGTCCGGGAGGATCCCACATGCCGCGGAGCGGCTGGGCCCATGAGCCATGGCCGCTGAGCCTGCGTGTCCGGAGCCTGTGCTCTGCAACGGGAGAGGCTACACAGTGAGAGGCCCGCGTACCGCAAAAAAAAATAATAATAAAAAAATAGAGGAAGTTATTTTACATGCAACAAAACTGGCATGGTCTGAGTATTATAATGATGGAAACTTTGGAATGTTACACGTTTTCAAATTCAGAAACTCAGTTTTAGAAGATCTTGAACTATATAACTTAGATTTACAGTTGTACTATATTTGATCCTTGCTTAGAAATTACACACCTTTGGCTGAAGGCTTTAATATTCAGACCAAAAGTTTACATCAATAATTTAATGTATGGCAAATATTTATTACTGACTTTAAGATCTGAATGATTGTAAATCATATACCCAAGCATGTTATCAGTTTATTACATACCTTGTCAAATGTACAGAGGTAAATGTAGCTTAAAGGATTTAATTTTTAAATTGTTTAATATGTATTAATTAAAATTTTAAAACAATAGTTTAATTACATGTGCAAATTTTGAAATTTTACTAACTGTCAATACACTAATTTTTGAAAATCTGAACCAGTTGGAAATGTTTAAATAAACATTTAAAGTCTATTACAATTTTATTTCTAGGGCTAGATAAGACTTTATTATCCCTTTATATAGTTTTTAAATTACCACATTATAAATTCCTCTTATTTAGTGAAAGATAAATACTCCAGTAATATAAAGTTTTCATTACCTGGCTGGAAGAAAATTACACATTGAAACATTTAATAATAGCCAGATATACTATTATTTTAGTAGTAAGTTCTAACAAAACAAAAGTTTTACAAACAATAATATAGGCTAAGAAAAATTAGTTTAATAACAGGATACCTCTAGATGTTTATTTCTTTTTGCAATCTCACTTGGTGTCTTTCCATCTTTGGTTTGTATCATTTTATTAGCTCCAAGTTCAAGCAACTTCAAAACTACATTTTTATGACCCTGATGTGCTGCCCATGTTAAAGCCTGTAAGTAGGGGGAAAAAAAGAAGACTGTTTAAAGAGAGGGAGTGTATATGACACAGAGGGGAAAACTTTTCAACAGTATTTATGGCACAATAAAAAAGTGAACATGGTTAATTAATGGAATGATGCAATCTCATCATTTCACAATAAAATGTAAACCTATTTCCAAAGTTGTAATTGCAAAGCAGACTGCCAGTGTTCACTGATTTTGTAAGACCAAATAATGTTTTACACAGACAAGTGATGTTATAGAATAAAACGATTTATCTGCCAATCACAGAACTGTTTTCTATAAAAAAGAATTCCATTTGTATTCCAGAATCCAGGCTTTGTAGTGTGTTACAGTTTCTTGTGTCAAGGGTGAGGACCAAGAGGAACAGATAATTTCTTTTTTCCCATTTAAGCTGTTGCTTTTCTTCACTGAACAGCAATTACATCCCAGCCCTTCTATAATTTTTACTTCTTAAAAAACCTCCCTTGTGGACTACTGATAATAAGATATTAACATCCTAGAGATAAAAAGGAACACTGTACAATCGGTTCTCACAGTATAGCCATTCTCATCCCGGGTATTAACTTCTGCTCCATGAGCAACAAGGAGAGCAACAACCTGAGGGTGACCATTCCGTGCAGCATACATGATGGGAGTCATAAGTCTCCTACAGAGGAGGAAAAAAAGAAACTGTGTCAATGCTGCCCTTAACAGTTCTTCAAAGCCATGAAATTTACCATACATAATACCATCAGTGTTGTTTTGAAAGTAAAGAAACATGAAAGCTTTTCAGAAATCAGGGGATCCGAAAATCCAATTTTCCAGCAAATAAATAAATATAAGGGAGATTACACTCTTAAAAGTATTGAATGCTTACACAGCACCCTCTAGTGAAGAAATGTGGGGTTTTTTAAATTCTTGAATTTTATTTTATTTTTTTATACAGCAGATTCTTCTTATTAGTCATCTATTTTATACACATCAGTGTATACATGTCAATCCCAATCGCCCAATTCATTCCACCACCACCACCAACCCCCCCGCCTCTTTCCCCCGTGTCCATACGTTTGTTCTCTACATCTGTGTCTCAATTTCTGCTCTGCAAACTGCTTCATCTGTACCATTTTTCTAGGTTCCACATATATGCGTTAATATATGATATTTGTTTTTCTCTTTCTGACTTACTTCACTCTGTATGACAGTCACTAGATCCATCTGCGTCTCAACAAATGACCCAATTTCATTCCTTTTTATGGCTCAGTAATATTCCATTGTATATATGTACCACTTCTTCTTTATCCATTCGTCTGTTGATGGGCATTTAGGCTGCTTCCATGACCTGGCTATTGTAAACAGTGCTGCAATGAACATTGGGGTGCATGTGTCTTTTGAAATTATGTTTTTTTCTCTGGGTATATGCCCAGTAGTGGGATTGCTGGATCATATGGTAGTTCAAGTTTTAGTTTTTTAAGGAACCTCCATACTGTTCTCCATAGTGGCTGAATCAATTTACATTCCCACCAAGAGTGCAAGAGGGTTCCCTTTTCTCTACACCCTCTCCAGCGTTTGCTGTTTGTAGATTTTCTGATGATGCCCATTCTAACTGGTGGGAGGTGATACCTCATTGTAGTTTTCATTTGCATTTCTCTAATAATTAGTGATGTTGAGCAGCTTTTCATGTGCTTCTTGGCCATCTGTATGTCTTCTTTGGAGAAATGTCTATTTAGGTCTTCTGCCCATTTTTGGATTGGGTGGTTTGTTTTTTTAATATTGAGCTGCATGAGCTGTTTATATATTTTGGAGCTTAATCCTTCGTCCGTTGATACGTTTGCAAATATTTTCTCCCATTCTGAGGGTTGTCTTTTCATCTTGTTTATGGTTTCCTTTGCTGTGAAAAAGCTTTGAAGTTTCATTAGATCCCATTTGTTTATTTTTGTTTTTATTTCCATTACTCTAGGAGGTGGATCAAAAAAGATCTTGCTGTGATTTATGTCAAGGAGTGTTGTTCCTATGTTTTCCTCTAAGAGTTTAATAGTGTGCGGTCTTACATTTAGGTCTCTAATCCATTTTGAGTTTATTTTTTTGTATGGTGTTAGGGAAAGTTCTAATTTCATTCATTTACATGTAGCTGTCCAGTTTTCCCAGCACCACTTATTGAAGAGCTGTCTTTTCTCTATTGTATATCCTTGCCTCCTTTGTCATAGATTAGTTGACTATAGGTGCATGGGTTTATCTCTGGGCTTTCTATCTTGTTCCATTGATCTATGTTTTGGTTTTGTGCCAGTACCATACTGTGTGATTACTGTAGCTTTGTAGTATATTCTGAGGTTAGGGAGTCTGATTCCTCCAGCTCCGTTCTTTACACTCAAGACTGCTTTGGCTATTTGGGGTCTTTTGTGTCTCCATAAAAAATTTAAGATTTTTTGTTCTAGTTCCGTAAAAAACACCATTGGTAATTTGATAGGGATTGCATTGAATCTGTAGATTGCTTTGGGTAGTATAGTCATTTTCACAATATTGGTTCTTCCAATCCAAGAACATGGTATATCTCTCCATCTGTTGGTATCATATTTAATTTATTTCATCAGTGTCTTATAGTTTTCTGCATACAGGTCTTTTGTCTCCATAGACAGGTTTATTCCTAGGTATTTTATTCTTTTTGTTGCAATGGTAAATGGGAGTGTTTCCTTAATTTCTCTTTCAGGTTTTTCATCATTAGTGTATGGGAATGCAAGAGATTTCTGTGCATTAATTTTGTATCCTGCAACTTTACCAAATGCATTCTTTAGCTCTAGTAGTTTTCTAGTGGCATCTTTAGGATTCTCTATGTATAGTATCATGTTATCTGCAAACAATGACAGTTTTACTTCTTCTTTTCCAATTTGGATTCCTTTTATTTCTTTTTCTTCTCTGACTGCCGTGGCTAGGACTTCCAAAACTATGTTGAATAATAGTGTTGAGAGTGGCCATCCTTGTCTCGTTCCTGATTTTAGAGGAAATGCTTTCAGTTATTCACCATTGAGAATGATGTTTGCTGTGGGTTTGTCATATATGGCCTTTATTATGTTGAGGTAGGTTCCCTCTATGCCCACTTTCTGGCGAGTTTTTATCATAAATGGGTGTTGAATTTTGTCAGAAGCTTTTTCTGCATCTATTGAGATGATCACATAGTTTTTATTCTTCAGTTTGTTAACATGGTGTTTCACATTGATTGGTTTGCTATATGAAGAATCCTTGCATCCCTGGGAAAAATCCCACTTGATCATGGTGTATGATCCTTTTGATGTGTAGTTGGATTCTGTTTGCTAGTATTTTGTTGAGGATTTTTCCATCTATATTCATCAGTGATATTGGTCTGTAATTTCCTTTTTTTGTAGTATCTTTGTCTGGTTTTGGTGTCAGGGTGATGGTGGCCTCATAGAATGAGTTTGGGAGTTTTCCTTCCTCCACAGTTTTTTGTAGGAGTTTGAGAAGCATGGGTGTTAGCTCTTCTCTAAAGGTCTGGTAGAATTCACCTGTGAAGCCATCTGGTCCTGGACTTTTGTTTGTTGGAAGATTTTTAATCACAGTTTCAATTTAATTACTTGTGATTGGTCTGTTCATATTTTCTGTTTCTTCCTGGTTCAGTCTTGGAAGGCTAAACCTTTCTAAGAATTTGTCCATTTCTTCCAGGTTGTCCATTTTATTGGCATAGAGTTGCTTGTAGTAGTCTCTTAGGATGCTTTGTATTTCTGCAGTGTCTGTTGTAACTTCTCCTTTTTCATTTCTAATTTTATTGATTTGAGTCCTCTCCCTCTTTTTCTTGATGATTCTGGCTAATGGTTGATCAATTTTGTTTATCTTCTCCAAGAACCAGCTTTTAGTTTTACTGATCTTTGCTATTGTTTTCTTTGTTTCTATTTCATTTATTTCTGCTCTGATTTTTATGATTTCCTTCCTTCTGCTAATCTTGGGTTTTGTTTGTTGTTCTTTCTCTAGTTCCTTTAGGTGTAAGGTTAGATTGTTTATTTGAGATTTTTCTTGTTTCTTGAGGTAGGCTTGTATAGCTATAAACTTCCCTCTTAGAACTGCTTTTGCTGCATCCCATAGGTTTTGGATCATCGTGTTTTCATTGTCATTTGTCTCTATGTATTTTTTGATTTCCTCAGTGATTTCTGGTTATTTAGTAATGTACTGTTTAGCCTCCATTTGTTTTTGTGTTGTACGTTTTTTTCCCTGTAATTCATTTCTAATCTCATAGCGTTGTGGTCGGAAAAGATGCTTGATACGATTTCAATTTTCTTAAATTTACTGAGGATTGATTTGTGACCCAAGATGTTATCTATCCTGGAGAATGTTCCATGAGCACTTGAGAAGAAAGTGTAATCTGCTGTTTTTGGATGGAATGTCCTATAAATATCAATTACATCTATCTGGTCTATTGTGTCATTTAAAGTTTCTGTTTCCTTATTTATTTTCATTTTGGATGATCTGTCCATTGGTGTAAGTAAGGGGTTAAAGTGCCCCAGTATTACTGTGTTACTGTTGATTTCCTCTTTTATAGCTGTTAGCAGTTGCCTTATGTATTGAAGTGCTCCTATGTTGGGTTCATATATATTTATAATTATTATATCTTCTTCTTGGATTGACCCCTTGATCATTATGTAGTATCCTTCCTTGTCTCTTGTAACATTCTTTATTTTAAAGTCTATTTTATCTGATATGAGTATTGCTACTCCATCTTTATTTTGATTCCATTTGCATGGAATATCTTTTTCCATCCTCTCACTTTAAGTCTGTATGTGTCCCTAGGTTTGAAGTGGGTCTCTTGTAGACAGCATATATATGGGTCTTGTTTTTGTATCCATTCAGCAAGCCTGTGTCTTTCAGTTGGAGCATTTAATCCATTCACTTTTAAGGCAATTATCGATATGTATGTTCCTATGACCATTTTCTTAATTGTTTTGGGTTTGTTTTTGTAGGTCCTTTTCTTCTCTTGTGTTTCCCACTTAGAGAAGTTCCTTTAGCATTTCTTGTAGAGCTGGTTTGGTGGTGGTGAATTTTCTTAGGTTTTGCTTGTCTGTAAAGCTTTTGATTTCTCCATCGAATCTGAATTAGATCCTTGCTGGGTAGAGTAATCTTGGTTGTAGGTTCTTCCCTTTCATCACTTTAAGTATATCATGCCTCCCCCTTCTAGCTTGTAGAGTTTCTGCTGAGAAATCAGCTGTTAACCTTATGGGAGTTCCCTTCTATGTTATTTGTCATTTTTCCCTTGCTGCTTTCAATATTTTTGTTTGTCTTTAATTTTTGCCAATTTGATTACTATGTGTCTCGGCGTGTTCCTCCTTGGGTTTATCCTGTATGGGACTCTCTGCATTTCCTGGACTTGGGTGGCTATTTCCTTTCCCATGTTAGGGAATTTTTCGACTATAATCTCTTCAAATATTTTCTCTGGTCCCTTCTCTCTCTGTTCTTCTTCTGGGACCCCTATAATGCGAATGTTGTTGTGTTTAATGTTGTCCCAGAGGTCTCTTACGCTGTCTTCATTTCTTTTCATTCTTTTTTCTTTATTCTGTTCCGCAGCAGTGAATTCCACCATTGTGACTTCCAGGTCACTTATCCGTTCTTCTGCCTCAGTATTCTGCTATTGATTCCTTCTAGTGTAGTTTTCATTTCAGTTATATTATT